CGAATCGATTAGAAACTTGTGAATACTTACACTATGACTATACGTTTCACTGCAACTGCCCACAACACAACATCTTAAAACTCTCTCTCTCAAAAAAAAAGAAAATAAACAAAAAAGAAAGAAAAAAACACCGACTGAAAAATGTATATCGTTTAAATGTATACTGAATAACCAGTGTTATTACGGCTCAGGGGTATGACTTCCTCTCACATTTTGACATTTGGTGGCGCACTTTCGGCGAGAGTCGGAAATCCGGAAACAGTCGACCGTTTCAGGATAGGTGGGCGTGGCTACAACACGAGAAATATCCCAAATTTTCTTGGATACGAGTAATCATTTTCAGCAAAAAAATCAATAACTGCCCATTTCAGTGGGATACAGATTTAAAATGGGAAACGTGAAGGTGGGCATTGCACAGGCACTTTAATGTTTGATTGATTTCTTGTGACAGTTTGTGAAATAAGTAATCAACTAAACATGATTTTTCCAGTGTGTCTTACTTAACCTTTTCATCGCCAGTTCCTGTTTTTCATCACAAATCAGTTCTGTTCATTGTCTGCACTTTCCTTCAGGGGACAAAAATAGTTGAGTAAAAACTGAAAATGTACTCAAATTTTGTCTGTTGGCTCCAAAATTAGGGTTTATTTCCAGAAATATTGAAAAATATAAGAAAAAAGTGCAGAATAAATTGGGCGAGAAAGTCTGGTGGTGTAAAAGTTAATGTCATAGATCATTTTCAGCTTTCCATCTGTTTGTTTGAATTGCTAACACTTTTAGGATTATGTTTCAATTCATGTGGATTCACAAATATTTATCTCTGAAACAGTGATTCAGTGAATGCTAGGAATTAGCAAATATATATCCCCAATTCAGACCATTAAATATATGTATAATAGACCTAAGGCCCAGTGTGATATCAGTGTAAGTTGAAGGCTCATTACTAGTTTCTAAAGTTTAGCTCTTTTTTCAGGCAACCAATCGTGTTGAAGTTGCTATTGATGGAAAAGATGATGTTGCCAAGGAGACAAAGAAAACTGTGGAGGCGAGCAAGGCCTTACTGGTGAAAAATAAGGAGGATACAAGTAAGAATGAAATCTCTAAGAGTGGTGAAAGTAGTGAAGTCAAGGAAGAAGTCAAGGGTGAGGTAAAGAAAATAGAGGATGGGTTTATGGATGTCAAGACAAAGTTTGAAGTTAGCCCTACTCCGGCAATTGAAAATGAGAAACCAGTGAACATACAGCAGGTCAAAGATGAAAAACCAGACCTTAAAAAAGATAAAGAGGTGAAACTGGAGTGCAAATCTGAAGAAGGCAACAATGGTGACGAAATGACAGATAAAGTTGAAGATGAGACATCAGAGTCGATGGACAAAATGAAGGATGAATGCAGTATTGTTAGTGTGGATGATGTGTTATTGAACGAGAGTGACGAGGCATTGACCATATCAAGCCACGAAGAAACGGAAACTGGATCTGCAATTAAGAAAAAGAAAACCCTGAATGAGAAAGCGACAGGTGATGTGGCCGATGTTGAGGAAGAAACCGACACCTCCAATGAAGGCGGGGAGGCAGATGTGGTGACATCTCTTGCAACACACAAGACAAGTCCCAAACGTGGACGTACAGGGAAAGGACGTGCAAGAGGTCGAAAACGCTAAGCGACAACATGCCTGCTTGTATCGGCAATTGACAGTCTGTGGATAGTCCATCGCTTGAGGACATTGTTTTGTTTATATGTTAAACCCCTTTCCACCTACCTACTGCCACTGAGTATTATTTTATTAGCAGAATTTTTTTTTGTAATGAAAAAAATTATTTGATGTTTTAAGTTTGAGCATTACTGAGGATTTGAATCTGAAAAAACTGTCAATTTCATAAATTTATCATGTAGATTTTTTTTAGGGGAAATTGATTTGTGACAAGTTGCTCATTCAGTTTTTTTTGTCGTGGTAGCCATAAAAAATGGCATCTTAAAATAAAGAATACTTTGCAGTTGAGTTTGAACTGAGCATGTTATTATTTCATGTTTGATTTTTCAGGATAATATACATGTACCTCGAATAATGTGAAAAAAATTTGTTAAAATTAGTTTGTTTTGTTGTTGTTACTTGCCTTGTTTCTCGGAAATGTTATAAAATATTGAAAATCATATATTCTCAGTTTTGAATGTAACTTAATTTGTAGTTTCGCAAAATAATAAAAGGTGTGTTTTTACGCATAACATTTTAGTTGCTATAGTGATGTGCATCGCAAATATAAACACTACATTTGTCATGAAAAAAAAAAGTATTGCATTTCAAACAAAAAGCTTTACAATTACAAAACTAACAAGGCATAAAAAA